GAGACATAATCACTTCGAGCAACGGAAGGAGTGACTCATGATGATTGACGCCATTTACGACCAGCAACGCCAAAATCGTCCTCCGAACCAGGACTTAGAGAGATAGGAGATCCCCCTATCTCAGGAATACCTTCATCATCGGAATATGGAATCGGGACCAAAGGAGACCCTCTGGTAGTCCTCCCCCACGGTGGCGGACCTAGACGCTCGAAACGACGACCTCCTAGATAATTTCATATCCAACCTACTTTAAGAATAAGTGTCATTGGAGGGGCTCATAGCGTCACCACGATCGAGCGAGTGACCCGCGACCGCCGGCGCATTGCCTGTCCCATTTGGCAGCAAGAAAGCAGCGCGAATACGGGCCAGATCGAAGGACGACCAATCCAAGTCACCCCGCCGTAAAACCTCCAACATACCACAGAGCTCGTCGGACATCAATGAGCTCCCATAATGAACTAATAAAAACAAGATCAATCGATTTAATGATCCCAAAGAAAATCACACACAGTAAAGATCCCAATAGAGAAATTTACCTATGTCTTTGGCCCAGTTACAAGGAAGCTTCGAGAAATCAAATTTACCCATCAATGACCGGTCGATCTTGAAAACAAAAAACTCCTCTCGCCAATCTTGATCACGATACGGAATCCCCTGGACGATTTGGCGCCCCGGAGGAGGAGACATAAGGAAAGTCTCGGGATTTTGATTGTTTCTCTTCATCAAACATACATGGCGGAGTTCACCGAGACCAAACGCTAAACCTTCCTCACGAGCTCTGACCAAAAGATTTAGAAGATGTCTTAAGAAGTTAGGACACATTTGGGTGAACGATAGGCCCAATTCGGACAAGATGCCAAGAATGGTCTCCGGAATCAGGAAAAAGAGACCGCAAGACTCGAAGAAGGATAGATATGCTCCGCAAAAAACCTCACAAACGGTCTCAGGAGTTTCGAACATAGCGGCAAGCTCAAGCATGACGGCGCGATCAACACCGTGCATCGTGTACAGCCTCTCAGGGCGATCCGCCGTGGTCGTCGGAAGAGGAAAAAAACGACGCAGTCATCTTAATCTGAGTTTGAAATTGAAAGATTGAGAATCACAAAGAAAGAGAAGAATGGAGCAATACTTAGGAATGGAAGGTGATTTCCAAGTATTTAAAGACACAGACAATCCCCAACGGCTCTATCATCAATACCGAGGAAAAATAGAAAGACCTAGGGTTCACCCTAAAGATGGCGCGCTTAACCGTTGGAATTTCAAAAAGAAACAGGGACCAAACAGTTCAAAAACTAATAATGAGAAGGAAGCCGAACCGACCCTCCTCAATTGGAATCAAATGAGCCATCTTTTCTTCTTCGACAAAGAAAAAAAGATGGTGAAAATGTTGAACCCAATTTTGGGTAAGAACCAAACGGGCCTAGGCCCATACATCGCCGTTTACAATTCGGCCCATATCGAGCTAGATGAGATCAAAGTGCTAGCTCAACGGAGACGGTTGAGAAGAATCGACGAAGAGAGGGCTATAAAAGAAAGACGAAGGCAAAGAGAAAATACACACGGAAAACCCTAGAGCTCCTCATTACTCACATTGACCTCGTTTCTTTAGTTTTGAACTTGTTCTAGTTTCGACTTCACTTTGTAACTGCCGATCTCGATTAGTTATTTGTATCAAATCTCATATCAATAAAGTGCATTTTTGTCAACTGAATTCCGATTGTACCGTTATGTTCTAAGAGCATCGTTACCTATCATTTGTCTTCTCTAAATTTAACCATTAATCACTATAAAATACTTAAGTTAGGATCTACAATAGCTATAACACCATAACACATTTAAGAGTTCTCTTCATCTACCCCATATTAAACTTTTCCAAATTACTTTAGAACTTCTAACATAAACCATATATATAAGTGGATTTTAAAGTTAGACCTCCTATTATTTAGGTTATTTTAATTCTCAACTTAACCTTTAAAAAAGATTTTCTTAAATAATCTTTCACTACCAACTATAATTATTTTCTTCCATATCTCATCTAATATTTTCAATTTAAATATTTCTTTGTATCCATAATATCATTCACCAAATATATTAATCATAAATATTAATCTATAAATATGTACTATACTTCCATTATAAAGTAAACTATATTATATATCTTCATTTATGTCAATTGTTTGACGGATAATTCGTTAACCTACATCTATTAATGCTTATATCGATATGATCAATACTATTAAATAATGTTATTTCAATATTATAAATTCAATACTATAAAATTGACCAACTCTACATTTTCATTGTCCATATTTATTGTACAACAAACGTTAAACTATGGATGAGCATTCGGGAGCCAACCGAATCCGGTTCGAATCTAGTTAGGTTTCATGTTTTTGAGGTTAAAAATTTCATCTTCATTCAAATAATTATTAATTTTGGTTCGGGTTCATTTCAGATCTTTGCGAGTTTTGATTCAGATAATCAATTTAATTTTTTCATCGCACATATATCTATAATACACTTATGAATAATTATTAATATAAAATATAATTTTAATCAAGTTGTTTAATCACATACAACGTGTATGAATAAACTTAAAACTATATAAAATAAACTAATATAACTTACATATATAATTTTTCTAAGTAAAAATAAAATTCGTGCATACGCAGATCATGATCTAATATAGGATTAAAATAATATAACTAATAAAAATGATTTTTAATAAGATGAAAGATGTCTTCATGTCATATAAAAAAAACTAATAAATGATGCCTAATTAGTTTTCTTAGAAACTAATGGCCTAGGCAAAAGCTTCATTTTTTACAATGAAGCACGGCTCTGTAGAATTGTTCATATGCCTAAGATCTAAACAAGATATCTATGTGTTCGTTGTATTGTTTGTTGAAAACACGATGAAGCTAAGATGGTTCATATCTATTTTGTCAAAATCAAAACTTTGTATTTTTTTTGTTGTTAAAATCACAAAATTAAGTTTTTTTCGTCAAAAATATAAAATTAAGTTTTTTTTACCAAAATAAGAAAAAAATCGTATTTCTCTGCCAAAACCACAAAATTGAGGTTTTAATGTTATTTACATATTTTAATATTTGGAATTTTCATCATATTTTAGAATATTAGGACCCGGTTAATGAAGTATCAAAGCAGTCCATTCTATTAGGGAAAATGAGATATGGAACATCGCGGGCCCATTCATCTTAGAGATGTTAAATAAGTCGTCTTGTCCCGTCTTGTCCCAGATCATAACGGGTTTCATTTTTTGCATGCTATGGCGGGTCTGTTTCGCGCGGGCTGCGATTCCCGGTAGCTCGTCCCAATCCCGTCCCACCAATATACACAGTTTCTTACAAGCCGTCCCGTGGATTAGACGCCAATGTAGTCGATCATGGCTGTTCTTGACGTAAGAGACTGTTCTAGGATGATTAAGGCTGCTCCACTAAATACTTAAGCACACAAAATGAATTTATCATGACGCAGCTATTATTGAATCTCAAAAGAATTTATTAGATCATAATCAAACTTAAACTGCATGTTAAAAATGAGATAAGTTCTTGTAACAAGTGAATGTATAAATTGAGATTCTTGATTGACTATATATAGAGTTTATAAATTGTAGTTATTTTTGTCACACCCAAAACATATCAACATACAAAGTAAAGATAAATTGCAAAAGGTATATTTCATTATTTTATCACCAATGTTTTAGTTTGATGAATCCAAAAAATAAATAAAATCAAATACCAAATCAAAGCTGCCAATTCAAAATTAAATAAAAAGAGAAAACCAAATGAAAAGACTATCACAGCTTGAATCGTCATCGTCGGAGCTGGAGTCATCATCGTCAAAGCTCGAATCATCATCGTCGGAGCTGGAGTCATCATCGTCAAAGCTCGAATCATCATCACCAAAACTCAAATCCTCATCACTGCAGCTCCTTACGTTTTTCTGAAGGAAGTCACATGAATTGTATTCTTCTCACTCAATTTTTTCATTTTCTTCCAAGTAAAACAAAAAAAAAAATTGAAGAAAAAAATACGGATCCTTGTAATCCCGCATGACCTGTTTCGGCATATCCTACTAAAAATCCAATCCCATAAAGACCCGTCCCGCGAGACCTACAAATTTACGGACCTAAACAATCTCGTCCTAATACCATCCCGTAATAATTTTTTACGGGTCAGATCCGCGATCCAGGTCAGCGGTTCATATCCATAATTGCCATCTCTAATTCACCTCCAAATATTTGAGAAACAAAAATGAAAACAAGCTGGGGTTTGAAAAACAAATCCACCGTCAAGAAGATAAAACCACAGTCGTTAGATCGAAGATTTACGAGGACACAAGATGCATCTCCACCGTTATTTGCTTAACCTCTTCTTATTAAGCCGATAAAATATTAAAAGTAGTTGTAAATCTCTCATTGTTCCAGTGATATTATTATACAGAGAGAGCATTATATGCACACAGTAGCTCCTCCTCTCTTCCTTCTCCGCTCCACTTCTGTCAAACTTTCTCCCTCCCTTTTCCATTAATAAATCTTCATCGAAGAAGCTCTAACGCATTTAATCATCTTCTTCGGAAAAGTATTCATCTCTGATCATTTGCCTGATGCTAAACTAGATTCGCGCTTCTGCTCCAAAGCCTCCGAGATTCGCATTTTCCTCGGAACCTATTGGTACAAATCCCTCCTTTTATAACTTAATCGCTACACTTGCGGATCTGATTGCGATCTCTTGATTTATCGCGAATCTCCAATGCGTTTAGTTAAATCTCTCAAGTGTAATTTTGGATTTGTTTTTTGTTTGTTTTTTTTTTTTTTGCAGATTTGGTTTCCGTGGAGTCTCTGTCTCTCGTTACTTGCGTGCGGGATGTATTTGATGATGTCAGCATTGTGACTAATTGAACAAAGTTTGATTGATTGATGTGACTATTTAATCGAACAACTTAGATTTCTCTCTTTTGGCTTATGCTTTTGAGAGATGGCGAAGATGATCAACAAGACGCTCTTACTAACATACAGTTACTTACTCATCTACATTCTTCTCTCTTCTGGTGTTATTCTCTACAACAAGGTCATTTCACTTTGAGATTTGCATTGTTTCCATATACTAGAGGATGACTATTACTTAATTAATATCTTTTTTTTTTGCAGTGGGTTCTATCTCCCAAATACTTCAACTTTCCACTTCCCATAACATTGACTATGATCCACATGGGCTTTTCTGGATTTGTCGCCTTCCTTCTTATTCGAGTTTTCAAGGTCTCAAATCTTAGTACATCATTTACACTTTCTTCCTTAACGTCATGCTGTATATATATATCCCTATGTTTTTGAGCATGCTTCCTTCTTCTTGTATATTGTAGGTTGTCTCTCCTGTTAAAATGACATTCGAAATGTAAGCCTATTTTACTCTATCCATTTCTACTAATCATCATCTCTTTTCTTTGTTTTTAACTTATTTTCCTGGATTCCAGATACGTGACCTGTGTGGTACCTATAAGCGCATTCTTTGCATCTAGTCTCTGGTAAGTCTTTTCTTCCATTTACAGTGGGGTTTATATTATAGATGCTCATTGTCTGAGTCAAGTACCTTTTCAATATGCTGAACTCTCTCTTACTCCCTTCGTACAGGTTTGGCAATACTGCATATTTGCACATTTCAGTTGCCTTCATTCAGATGCTCAAAGCACTAAGTATGTAAAAACACACACAACTTTCTTTTGGCTCAAAAATCTGTCTTTGTAGATGAATCTTTGACCATGTTATGAAAGCTTTTTAACACGTGAATATGGAATATGACAGTGCCCGTAGCAACATTTATCATGGCCGTTGTTTGTGGCACCGACAAAGCAAGGTGTGACGTGTTCATGAACATGCTGCTCGTCAGTGTTGGAGTTGTGGTATCCTCCTATGGGGAAATTAATTTCAATATAATAGGCACGGTCTACCAGGTCACGGGCATCTTTGCTGAAGCACTTAGACTTGTGCTAACTCAAGTTCTTCTTCAGAAAAAGGGCTTGACATTAAACCCAGTCACCAGCTTATACTATATAGCCCCGTGCAGGTATACTTACATTGGCTTGATTTGAATATCAGCTTAAGATATAAACTTGTATCCATTGACTTGATTTTTATCTCGGTCTGTGTTTGTCTTCTGTTGTTGTATTAGATTTCATGTTTGTTAACATCATGTATTATACTCTATTTTGCACAATAAACATACCAACCTTTTTCTTGGTTTTTTGCAGCTTTGTTTTCCTGTCCTTGCCTTGGTACGTACTGGAGAAACCGAACATAGAAGTCTCGCAGATTCAGTTCAACTTCTGGATCTTTTTCTCAAACGCTCTCTGCGCACTTGCCTTAAACTTCTCCATATTCTTAGTAATCGGAAGAACAGGAGCAGTAACCATCAGGGTCGCTGGTGTTCTCAAAGACTGGATTCTCATAGCCCTCTCCACTGTCATATTCCCTGAGTCCACAATCACTGGTCTGAACATTATTGGATACGCAATAGGTTTGTTTCTTCCTTTTAGTTACAATCTGGACAAGCTATTAAATTCTCATGTGAATTGTTTCATTTATATCTTCTTCTTTTATGATGCAGCACTCTGTGGGGTTGTAATGTACAATTACATAAAAATTAAAGATGTGAAAGCGACTCAACCAATCACTGATAGCCTCCTCCCAGATCGAATCACCAAGGTAGAGTCAGTTAATCTGTCTCCTTATTATAAAGCATAACCTATCACTATTTACTCTTAATGATTGAGCAGGATTGGAAGGCGAAGAGCTCGTCGGATGGAGAGAGCCCCAGAGGTATAGAGCTTGTTGATGAGGAAGCTCCTTTGATAACGTCGCGGTTGTCACATATCGGGCGGACTCAGCTCGGAACCCATACTGCGGCCTGAGCAACGTACAGATGAGAAGAGATCCGTATGTTGTGTCTTTCCTTTATCTCTTTTGGAACCCCCAAACTTTTTTTCTTAATAGAATTTACGTCGGGATTATTACTTAACAATGTTTAGTTATAAAAAAAAACACAACTGGAAAAATTATTTTGTAGGGTCTCTGTGTGAGTTATAAATGTTTTTCACCAGACACATCAGCTCGGGACCCCGCTTGGTCTTTAATTTTATGATGTAGACAGTTCTGACATCTGAGATTTATTTTGTTTTTTTTTCTTCGTCTGACCAGTTTATATACTATTCACGTATTCAAGAGGAAAACTACTGGAAATAAATAATAGAACTTGGTAGTTGGTATTAAACTTATACAGAAAAAAAGTGATAGGTTAAAGAATGTTGATACTATATAAACCACTAGTCAAAAACTTAGATTCAAATGAGGCAACAGAAATTGTAATGTGCACCAAAAACTCTCGGTCCAGCCAAAAGCTTTACTCTTATGTTCTCGGAGCTACTCCCAAGATGTCTATAATGTCTTTGTTGTTTGGGTTCAGGATCTACATTTTCTTGTCTTTGTTTGCTATAAGTGAATTTAGAACCCAAACTTTATAAGAAAAAAGAAGTAAAATTGCAATGTTGATTACCTTCAGAAACAGGAACATCATTATGCATTTCTCGGTAGCTACCTGAGACAAAAGAATTAGACAGTCTTAGCTTTTGCAGTGTGAGACTCTCATGTCATAGTAGATATAATATACAGACCTGTCTCCCTAACTCTTTTACTAGCTGTGAGGCTTCATTAGATAGAGAACTGAAACGTGTTTTGGTCGTTCACAACGCACTCCATTTGATCCGTCTGTAAAATTTCCATGAGGCCAGCGTAGTGTTACACACTTGTTTATGTAAGTAATTGTTGGACCCAAATTCCTGCTAAGTCCACCAAACCCTAGAGAGAACTTAGAGAGGAAACTTAGAGAAAAGAAGGACACACACAAAACCCTAGAGAGAACACACTACACTCCTTTGACCTCGATCCCATCTTCTTGGTCATTCAATTTAGCTTTAGCTTCTCTTTTTAATTTAATCTTTGTACCCGTATTGTTGTTACATCAAGCATTGATGTGATAAAAGTCTGGAATCTGACTGTATTGTTGTGATATACAGATATTGTTCTCCACGTTATTTATTACCTAATCTTCCCTCAGAATCAGCCCCTCAATCCAGGCTGGCTAACAAATGCCTGAGCTTTAGTGGACTAGACGAAGTCCAGACGAGATAAAGAAGGCACGAGAGCCCGCCGATCAGCGCGTGGAATAACCCGATCAGAAGAGAGCCGAGAGGCAATCTACCGATTTTCCAGACAGGTGAAAAAATACTAGTAAATCCGACTATGTACTGACCTAGAGCTACTGATATCCCTGAAAAAGAGTCTCCGAAACCTAAACCGGAACCAACCCAAAAAACCGGTTCGATCAGGTACCGGTAATGCCATTTTACCCTATTGGGTTATGTTGTGGAGGACTCGCGGATCTTTCATCCAACCCGAACCTAAGATCCGATAGGGTACCCAAAATACGTAAAACTTATCGTATATATTAGTATTATAATTTTTTTAAGGCTTTGGGTTTGGGATTTCGGGTATAGTTTTAGGTTTCAGTTAAAATTTTAGTTTTTAAAAACATAGTTCTGGTAATCAATTAAATGTTTTGGGTATTTTCTTGTTTACGGTCAGATTTTAGGTAAAATTTTGGATATTTCGGATTTTTAATTTTTTTTTGGTAAACATGACCTGAACCGAACCCGATCCAGATCCGAACCAAACTTGAACAAAAAAATTTTAGTTATTCTACTGGGTCCAACTATCTAAGAACCGAACCGACCCGGATCCGAATGATCCAAATGAATCCGAACCAACAAATTCTAATTACCCTACTAAATCTAAATATCTAAGACCGAATGACCCGAATCCAACAAGCCCCGACCTAAACCCGATCGGAAGACCCGAATGCCCAGACCTATCCCGCATAACGTAGCATACTCAAACCTGGAAGGGACCCAGCCGAGAAACTTGACCGATGTAGGAGCCTTCCAAAACTACGAAAAAATAACGCAGAATTAAGAAGAATGCACGCCATCATACACATGACTACAAGCTCGGCCCCATACATCGATCAAGTGACAAAGGAAACGTGGCGAACTCCCTTCACAAACAGAATAGCTAGCATAAGGCTGCATGACGTGGGCAAAATCAAGTTCCCGGAAGGCTCCAGGAACACCGATCCGAAAGTCCATGTCTGAGCTATCCAACTAGCCATCTCCAGAGGTCACCTCAACGATGAAGAAAAAGAGGCTGATTATTGTCACTTCTTTGCTTAAAATCTCATTGGACCAGTCATAGAATAGTTCGTTGGGATCGAAGGAAACTCTAACGATAATTTCGCGCCATATATGTGTTCTTAAAACAATACTCGAACTTCATAGATTCAAGAGCGACCGAGGCCGACTTGTGGAACCTGAAATAAACATTGTTTGAGCCTCTGAGGACGTAGGTAAAAAAATTTAGAGATATCAAGGCCTGGATATCACACCTGAACGAAGGAGTCGCCCTCGCTGCACTTAAAAATGAAATATGTTCCCGTCCAAATTCAAGGAAGAGATGTCCGTACGAGCTCCCACCTTACTCAACGACGCACTCCATCCAGCTTCATACTTTGCGGCCCTTGAAGAAGAAGTAGTTGCCTTAAAAGGTTAATACAATGTGAACAAGAATAATCCCAACATGAGTAAAAGACCACCAAACCTAAAGGAACCATAAGAGCCTTGCATTGGTTACTAATCCTATTCTCGATTTGGCCTAATCAAGCATCGGCTCCAATTTATTACTTGCCAATGAACGAACAGATTTGTGGACAATGTGATGTGTTACAAAAAAAAAAAAAAATACTTTAGGGGTTTGACAAATGTACCAATTTTATACAAGGTAATATAGTTTTTATTTACATAAATTCTCTATCACTCCAGATGCAAATTTCGAATAGTTGCACATTTTGTTTCCTGCTCCTGGCTACCTTTTATTTTTTTAAAGCTTTTACACTTGCGATGATGTGCTTAATTCGTTTGATAATCTGTCGCACAACTGCACCAACAACACAAAAATAATAAGCTGTTTTAAATCAAGAATGAAGAAAGATATATATGTTTATAAAGAAATGAATATATTGCCTGTTCATATAATAATGAATCACCATGTGTCTTTCTTAGTTCGACCACATTCAGCAACGGGATTATCTCGAAAATCTCCGCCGTTAATGATAACCCTCCTCGCCCTTTTCGATTACCCTCTTGTTGGATTGCTTTTAACTGAAACAACATCAGTTCTCAACTTTAGAAATCACATAAACTACTTACAACAACTCAAGAGCACAAGAGATTCTCACCATTGTCTGTTTCTTCTGTACGTAGAAACCCATCTCCATAAGGGTTGTTTTGATTTTCTCCAATACATCTATGGCTAACCTATCTGATGTGAATCTTATCTGCCTGTCTGACACTTTCTGAACCAGTGCATACAAGAAAAACATGGTTCGCATGAGTATATAACCATCTTGAAACAGAGTACAGAAGGACAAGACTGTACAGTTACCTCTATCTCAAACAAACCGGAGAGGTCGAGAAACGATGACATTCCGATCAACTCAAAGGCGTTGATGACGGTTGGTGAATAAGGACTCTTCTCTTCTTCAGATACCTTCACCATCAGAACCAAAGAAGACAAGACTTTTGAGGAAGGCAATGCACATGATCAAGATTCATAAGAACCAAGGAAACATTTTCTTACATCTTCTTGGATTGAGGATGCATCATCATCTTCATCGTTGCTATTGGAAGGAGTGTAGTCATGATTGAACCACTCATTGGCCTTAATACATGTGATTGTCATCCTTGTTATTGGATTAGGATCAAGCATTCTCTTGATCATGGTTTTAGCACCCTGTGATAGCCATCTAGGTATTGGAGGGTCCCCTTTGAATATCTGAAATGGCAACCAATAGCTTTGAGTATGTTTCTTCAAACATAAACTAATCGATAAAACACATACTCTGATTCTGACTCAATAAAAGACACCATTTATATTTAGCAAAAAAAAAACAAAACTATTGAAAACAGAGGGAAGAAATAAAAGCAGTACATTACGGCAAAGAACCGCGAGGTTTGCATCATCAAAAGGGAGACATCCCGTAAGGATAACATACAAGATGACTCCACACGACCATATATCTGATGCTGCACCATCATAGCCCTTGTTGGCCAGGACCTCGGGTGCGACATAGTTTGGACTTCCACAGGTTGTATGTAGCAACCCATCTTCCTAACATGTCAAACCCCTAAAAATGTTGGATACGTAGATTCCTGTAATGCTGATGTAAATAGGTTTAGGATATTTTGGCAAATTAATACCCTAAAATGCTGAGGTAGAGCACTAAGGCCAAAATCGGTGATCTTAATGTGCCCCTTTGCATCAAGAAGGACATTCTCTAGCTGCAGCAAGTGATATTCGACATCAGAATATGCGACTAATAAATACTGTGAAAAAGTATAAAACCTTCATGGGTCAAGAAAACTTGTAAACCACCGACCTTGAGGTCTCTGTGGAAAACTCCCTTGTTATGACAATAGCTGACTCCATCAATCAACTGCTGAAACAATGTTCTTCCTTCTGTTTCGGAAAGCTTCCCTTTGGAGACCTGAGAATCATCAGAGCATATATTTGGAAACCCACCTTGTGATTAACTAACCAAACTGTCACTGTTAATGCATGAGTCTTACAATTCTGTCAAATAAGTCTCCTCCAGTGACATATTCAAGGACCATGTAGATCTTTGTTTTGCTAGCCAGGACCTGCAAGTCGACAATATGGACTTGGTATATCAGTGACATTAAAATATGTTTTTAGGTATTAAATTAAGAAAAGCACATTGGAAACTATAAATTATCAGGAAAATTTTATCATCAAGCAAAAAACGTAGGCCAAGTCTATGTTGATTCAACGTCCAGAACCAAATATTTGGGTTGCTTATTAAAAAATTCGGATTCAACAAGATTATGATCCATACAAATACCCATAAGCATTGGAAACATAAAAGTAGGTTTTCACGAATTTAAAGTATGAAAACGAGTATTACTGGATTTATTAAATTTTGATGACACTCCAAAATATAAGGCAGCTGTGAAGTTTGTCAATATCATTAATCAAAATTCAACGGTCAATTTTTAGGGCCTACCTCATAATACGTCATTAAATCTATCGTCACCCAATTAATGACCAAAACTCAAGCGGAAAAACTACTTCATAAACATAATAATACTAATTAATTAATGAATTCTTGCGTGGCTGTTTGGCAACGTGAAGGGATGAAGAAATTGAGGAGAGAAATTAATAAATACAATCTATAATCAACTAATCATAAAACGACTTTTCAGATACTATTTCCCAATTTTCTGACCACACAGAATACCAACAAGTTTTGACCATACTTCTTCACAACTAAACAAACGAAGTTTTAATATTTTCGTCAAAATTTGCTCATCAATAAGAAAAATGATGGAGGGTCGGTTTCGGTACAGCCATATATTATATGGTTAAACAACTATACACAACATTTGATACCCGGTTGACATTCACTTCTGATCGAACTTAGATTTCCTTAAGCATATTGTGTAAAATTATTTTATGCCATGAAATAGTATTTCAACCATAAGGAATCATGTTATCCATATATTATGAAACAATTACCTCATGGTTAAGCAAAAAAAAGAAAAAAACAATTACCTCATGTTATCCTATCCTACACTATTTCAAATGTTATCCTACACTATTTCGAAATTTTGGACAGCCATTTTTGTTTTTATTAAAGACTACTATTTAAAATAGAGCCAATTGTGAATATGATTGCCGTGCCATTATTCAAATCATAAATATTTGGGTCCGACGACCTCATAATTAAATTGGTCAGGCGGTCATCAAATCCATCCTCAAGCCAATTAATGAACGGGACTAAGGCTAGGAAGGAAATATATTATACGTTAAGTGTGGCTATTTAGCAACGTGAAAAGTGAGATTACATGTTTATGAAATAATAATATATTAGAAAATAGTTGTAACTAAAAAAATCACATAACCAAAATGAATTTTCAAGAAAGTTACACTTCCACGCAAGGAACCAAAAAAGATTCACAGGTGTCATGTTAAATCGTGAATTCTAACTTCCGTTTTATCTTTTTTTGAAAAAGGCTTGTCTAACTTCCGTTTCGATAATTGAGAGTGTTATTGAATCATGTTTACCATAACTAAGGAATTAGAACGCAAATAACCATAACATTATTTCAACAATTAATTACCTCATGTAATCTGACGATGTTTGGGTGCGTCAACACTTTCAGTGTCCGGATCTCTCTCTTTATCTGACAAAACCGAGTGTTGGATAAAGACTTTGAATCAACCACTTAACATATTTTAGCTCTCGAAGAAACAAGAAACAAAAGCGAACCTGAAAAGAGACATTAAGATGTTTGATACTAGACTTGTCAATGATTTTGACGGCGAAGGATTGGCCGGAGACTGTATCTGTAGCGAGTTTGACTTTTGCAGAGTTTCCTTCCCCAAGAGTCCTCCCAAGTTCGTATTTCCCAACACGCATTCCCTTCGTCACCATTCAAATTCTCTGATCCGAACCAGTTCGTTGGATTGAGCTATGAATTTATGGCTATTGCTCTATGTATGTATAGATAGAAGATTGAGATTGAGGAGAAGAAGAAGAAATGGCGGCAGAATATTGGAAAGAAGAACACGCCGCTTTTCTTTTGCTTCCTCGTTCTCTCTTCTTCTCTGGCAATTATTCTATTGGTTTATATTCCCTCTTTTTTTCTTGGAAGACGCAAAAAATCCGTGATTAACAAAAATGGAAACTTCTGTTATGAATCTTTTGTTTCAAAAAGAAGATAAACTAGAGACTCTAAAGTCTAAACTATATATGCTATTGCTTTTTGGGGTTTTGTAAATATGAATCAAAATAAAAAAAGTCAAACGTAAAAATAATATATGAATTTTTTTGAAATTTTTATTTATCATTTTCACCTCAGAAACTCAAACTATTTACAAATATGTCATTTTTTTTCTTTTCAAAATTGCTTGTTTTACTCAACCGATCTTTATCTTTCTCTTTTATTTACAACATTACTATTGCGTTCGATACACCAACCACCATGAACAATCAATTTCAAACTCTAAATACACCTAAAATAAATACCTACATACATAAAAGCATCTCTCTTTCAGTTCCTTTCTTATTTCATCCTAAAATCTCAACTTTTTTTATTTCAAATTTATAAGCTTATTAGAGTAACCGAGTTCAGGATAGTTAGTTTTGCAGTTGCCAATTAAAACTAAAACATTTAATTTTGATTAAACTTTCCTAGAAGTCTTCTCGATTTTTATTTTAGGATTTTGGTTAAACCTTTGGTTATTGAAGAAGATTTCCACATAAGTCTTCTCTCCAAAAATCAAATATGGAAAATTGCAAAAGTAACTTAAGCAGACTTCCACTGACCGTGAGTAGACTCATGTAACAGTTGAGAATACTTTCTTGGATATCTTCCGCCATAAAACTTTCAGAAAAGTCTTCTGTAGAAAGTTAAATTTCTGACAGAATTTAGTCAATTACAAAACTGACATATTTATTCGAGAAGACTTCCAGAGAAATCTTCTCTGGTATTTTTGAGATTTTTTTGGAATACAAAAGTAAGCCAATATTTACAAAGGAAGACTTCCAGAGAAGTCTGTTGTAGAGAAAACTTCTCTGGAAGTCTTCCTTCGTAAATTTTCAATTGCAAAATTAACCTAAATGAAAGACTTACAGACTTCCACAAAAGTGTTCCATTTCGGTTAGTTTCTTGTTAATGAGAGAAGATTGAAGAAGTATTCTCTCAGAAGATTTATGGTGTCTTCTCTGAGAAAACTTATGTGGAAGATTTCTACGTTCGTTTTTGTAAAACTAGCATTTTCAGTAGTGTTAAATAGTCTTAAGATAAGTTTTTAATTTTCAAAAGTATTAAGTAAGTTGAAGAATGACAAGTCATATAGTTTAATTTATATTCTTATATCATATAATATACTTTTTTAACTTTCATTGAGATTAAAATTTCAAATTCATTCAAAATTTAAAATTTCCGCTTAAATTTTTGGTTTCTGCTTAAATTTTTTTTTTTTTAATTTTTCTCTTAATTTGCGTTAAGTCTTTTGTTAGAAGTCTTCCGAGTAGACTTGTCTAGAAGTCTTCTAACAGAAGATTTAATTTGTTTTCTGATTATAACTTTTAAAGATTAATTTTAGGCCTTTAGTGAGACTTACGTATTGTTTAACTTTTGTGAATTTGACTAAGTTTTTTGAGAAGTTTTCTCTATTAGTTTTAGTATCTTGGTGAAAAGTTTTCTTGCTATGTTATATCAACAACTTCAATAATGTCAAGTATTTTTCGCAAAATAATATATATTGTAGACGTGAACATATTTAACAAATTATTTTCACTAACATCTCTTCAAGTTTACAAAACAATTCACAACTAAAAGAGTACACATAGCACTCATAAAACAAACCATAAACAAAATTACACATGGAGCTTGAGATCATTCCTATACATAGTTAAACTTAGACTTCATTTGGGTTAGATATTTTTGGTTCGGAAACTTCCCGGGAAGTATTCCGAGAATTTTTCTGAGAAGTCTTCCAAAGTCTGGCTCAGATTTGAAAAAAACCTGGATATCCAAAAACGTTCAAATTGCATCAAAACAGAGAAAAAAAATTATATTCTTAAATAATAAGTAAAACAGTCACACTATGTTGAATCTACAGTTGTTAAGAATATAACATATAAAATACACGAAAATACATATCCAAATTTTTAGATTTACCTTTAAAGGAGTAAAAGATGAGAACCATGTAATGAATAACTTACAAAAACAAGATAAATCAGTGAGAAAGACATAAGAGAAAAAAAAATTGACATAAAGTTTGGTGTTTTCAAGTTCAAATAGATTAGAGAGTGGTTGAAGAATTTTTAGAGTAAGAAACGTTACATTTTTGGTTGCAGTCATTTGAGAGGAAGATAGAAAATGTGTAAATTTTCTTTAAAAATTCCAATTAGATTATAAATGTTTTCGGTTCAGAAACACAAAATGTATTAGAAGATTTTCGGGAAAGTCTTCTGAAAGCCTTCTGAGAAATCTTCCAAAGTGTGACTCAGATCTGAAAAAATCTGCATATGCAAAAACGTTCAAATTACATCAAAACAAGGAAAAACTTCAAAAAAAAATTTCTATGCTTAAATAAAAATAAAACAATCACACTATGTTGAATCTAAAAGTTATTAGAATCTAACATATAAAACACACAAATATACATATCCAAAATTTATATATATCTACCTTTAAATGAGGGGAAAATGAAATTCATGTAATGAAAAATCTGCAAAAACAAGATAATTTAGTAAGAAACACATACTAAACAAATGAAAAATTGATATAAGGTTTAGTGTTATCAAGTTCAAATAGTTTGGAGAGAAGTTGAAGAGTTTTAAAGTGAGAAACATTATATATTTGTTGCCTCCATTTGAAAGGAAAAAAGAGAATGTGTAATTTTTTTTGTATATAGGAAGACACAAATTCTAATTTTGTTAAATATTTTCGATAAAGAAGACCAATAGATCCTAAATTTACTATTTCTCCAGAAAAGTATTTCAAGAAGTATTCTCGACCCTAAATTTACTATTCTTCCCTAAGACTTACATTGAAGTTTTCTAAAGCATTATTTGTTAGAAAACTTTCCAATAAGTCATCTAAAACCCTAAAAGCAAGTACTTAACTTTCAAATAAGTCATGTAAACCCTAAACACTTTCCAATAAGTCATATGACAGAGGTTCGGTTTGGTTTGTAAGATTTCCCAGGAAGTCTTCTGATATAAAATACAAAAGTCTTCTAAACCCTAAATTTACTATACGCGCATAAGACTTCCCCATAAATCTTCTACTGCATTGTTGGAACTGAAATTTGCACTTTCGATTTGCACTTTCCCCATAAACCCTAACTTTCCTAAAGGTTCGGATTCTTTGCAAGAACCAACGACAAGTAATCGAATAAACGCAAAAAGATGAACAAGACAACAAAATGAATTTATAAAAATAGATTTTTTCCCTAATATGCCTAAGAGCGTTGCGATCATTACAAAATATTATAAAATCTTTGGCCGCAAGATCCGTCGAAGAGTTCCATAGTTCTATCCACTTAAAACCGTAAACCTAATTGAGTCGCAGCACGATAACAGTAAACGAAAAACACACGAAAGAGGTCTTGTTGATTTCGGAATGTATCTTGCGGTAGGCTGCCTACATGCCCCTTTTGACGATCACGCCAAACACAGTTCAATTAAAGATTTTGAACAAGAGATATAACTGCCTCTGTGAGTTCATCTAGTAATCGAGTGCAAGACATAGAAAGCCAAGCATGTCGAGAATAATGCCTAAGGTTCATAAGCGCTACGTTTTTTGTGTAACAACTTCTCCCTTTTTCGTCTCTCGGCATGCCTTATATACTCCTCCTAGGTCAGTTTTCCCTTTTCTTTTCTGTTCCCAGTCAAGTTTATCCTCTCGCGAAAATATTCCTTTGAAACTTGAAGATATAGTTCAGACACCCAGCTATATATATTATACCAAAGTTACATGTCTACTTAAAATGATAACATAATATTATTTGATTCAGAAATTTACCTAATTTGAATCAAATGTTATGATATAGTTCAAAATAATAATCAACCCAACTATGTATATTATACTTAAAATTACATGTTTACTTAAAATGATGACATAATATTATTTAAAATACTTTTTAATGTTATACATAAACTATAACTTGATTTAAAATTTATAAAATAAATGAAAGCAAAATATAAACAAACTATTCTAAATTATTTATATTTACTTAGTAAATATTTAAATCCGTGTATATACACATGAGAATCACCTAGTGTGAGGTAGATAAATTAAAAATTAATAAAAAATTCAAAGAGTACATATTGGTTTGGTAACCATGTGTTAGACAATGTTTATGGTTTGAGAACGATAGGTTCAAAGATGTATATATGTATCAGATTTTTCAGGATATATTTTAGTTTTTATTTTATTTTATTTTATTAAATAAAAATTACGTATAAATGTTAGTAATATACATATTTGATACATGATTAATTAATACTTATCAAGTGGATATTTATGGTTTATGGTTTAGTAGATTTCAGATGAACTACTTGATTTTAGGGTATCATAAACCTTTTTTAGTCTACTAATATTTAATATTAAAAATTAAAATAATTCAAAATTAAATTAGTTTTTCATGAATAAAAATTATTAAATCAGATATTAAAAATATCAAAACAATAAATAATTCTTAAAATCATATATTAAATTATTAACACAATAAAAATAAATAAAAATAATAAATTTCTTGTAGTAGACTTTCAACAGGTCTAATAAGTCTATTCCATAATTTTAAGTTTGGTAGATTTCAAAAGAATTACCCTCTCCATTTCAATTTACTTGTCGTTGTAGAGTAAAATTTTTCTTTTTAAATAAGTGTCGTTTTATATTTTCAATGCAAAATTTATTAACTTTATATGTTATCTTATTGCTTGTAAAGTGGTTAGGTGTATAGTAAATTGTGTTTTTATCTTGAAAAAATGTAAAATTAATTTTTTTCTTAATTTGTGTGCAAAAATCTAAAATGAGAACTAAAATGAAATGGATGGAGTATATTGTACCGTATATTTTAACATAATCTTATTTTTTTTGTTTCCATATATAAAAGAAATTTACGCATTCTCTCTAAAATATTTACACAAATGTCTTAAAATTTCTCACTTCTCTCTAAAACTCTTTTAGTTCTCTATAAAATTTTATCATTT